TGACTGCTTCATCTCTCCTTGGCATACTCTCAATCAATTTAATCAGGACATCATTTGTTAATTTAGGACGGCCACTTTGATTTTTTGTAACGAGATCTCTTCTATCAATGTACAGTCAAAGCTCGTTACAGTGAACCCCTTGGTTCCTAAGATTTTGTTCACTGTAACGAATGTTCACTGTAACGAAAGATCTCTTTATAGTGAACATCATACATGTGAGTGAAATATCTGTATTTCGAAAATAATTTCGAAAATTAGGATCTTGGAATTTCGAATTTAACCAATTAAAATTTCCAAGATTCGAAATACAATATCAAAATCAAAATTCAAAATCTAATCAAAATTCAAAATCTAAATCAAAATTCAAAATCCAATTCGAAATTCGAAATCCAATTCGAAATTCAATTGTGTCACAGATTTTCATATCTATATTTTAAATCTCATTCATTCTAAAATAAAATTCTTAAATAAAAATTAAGATATGACAAGTAATTTTGATTCTCGAGGTCTTTATTTTCCAAATTCTAAGAATGCTGGAAGACCTCCTAATATTGTTTGGACACATTTTAATAAAGGTACAGAAAGGTATCCTGGCAAGTACGATTCCACATGTATATATTGTAATGACAATGGAACAAAAGGAAGTCCACAGCTAATGCAAGAACATTTAGCAAATAGATGTCCAAATGTACCTGTTGATGTAAAACAAGTTTTTCTTGAAATTATTTTACACAAACACCAAGATGATAATTTTTTTGATGCAACAGATTCATTAACAACTTCAAATTCTTCGAACAAGAAGTTTGTCTAACAATATTCAAGATAGAAAGAAAAGAAAAAATAATAATCAAAAAGAGTTGAATAATTTTTATGATACAACAAACATCACATCTCAAAAACAAAAAATAATTGATCAAGCATTGACAAGAATGTTTGTTTGCTGTGGGTTACCTTTTTCTTTAGTAGAAAACCCCTTTTTTATCAAATTTGTTAATCAATTAAAACCTGCATACAAATTACCTTCTAGATTTAAGTTGTCTAAAGATTTTATTAATGAAGAAGTAGCAAATGTGAACGTAAAAGTTGAATTGGAATTAAAACGGCAAAATAACATTACTTTAGGTAAAGGAAATCATTAATATTACTTATTAATCAATTGGATTTTTTATTTTGAGAATTGTGTAATTGATATTGTTTAAATTATGATTTTCTTTTATATTTAGCAATGGATGGATGGACAGATCCAGCTGGAAGATCTATATATAACTATGTAGCATTGACTTCAAATGGCAAAGAGTATTTGTTAAAGTTAATGGATTATTCTCAATTTTCTCATACAGCTGATTTTTTGGCAAATGAAATAGAACAAACATTGGTTTTAAATAATATTGGTGTAGTCACAGATGGAGCTGGAAATGTCAGAGTGGCAAGAGAAATTATCAATAGAAAATACCCAAATATCTTAAATTTGAGATGCATCACGCATTCTATAAATTTAATAACCAAAGATATTGTTGACAAAAAGAAAAACTTTTTGTGGGGTTATAATGTTCTTCACAATTGTTCAAAAGTAATTTCATTCTTTAGTCATTCTCACCAAGGAAATCATTATTTGAAAGAAGCCATTCAAAGGTTTGAAATTTCAGGTGGTGGTTTAAAGACATATATTAAAACAAGATGGTCTTCTGCATGACCATTTCATCAAAAAACCCATCTAATCTGCTATCTTGATTTTTTATCATATTAGAGAATTTCTCAGGGTCCAATTCAACACTACCTTTGAATTTTTTTTGTTGATCATAAAGGACTTTGCTTAAAACTTTGATTTTTGATCCAAAAGTAACTATATAATATAATAATTTAATTGATTAGTCACTTGATTAATTTTTAATTTAAGAAAATAAAAAAAAATTACCATCATTAACATCTTTATCTGTTATATGAACACTAGAATCTTCATGTACATGTTATATTGTCTAGTTGTAATTTTATTTGGTTTATATTATTAACTAATAATGAAAAATCTTCTTTTGATACAATAAAATTTTCTTCATCAAAATTAAGTTTAATTTTAGACCAATCTAATTCATCAGTTGACTTGCTAGATGAAGAAGGTTCACCATATAATTTAACTGTCATTACTTGAACATTTTCATTATTTAATGATTCACTAGATTTTCTTTTTTTTTTTATCATGTCTATCTGGTTCAACTATTTCCATGTAATGTGTATAACATAATTGATCACCCTCCTTTATAAAGTCATATTGTCTTTCAGAATTTTTATCTCTTTTTTTTCAATAGTATAACTGGTCATTTTATTAAATTTTACAGCAGTATTTTTGCAATCAGATATTATACATGGACCAAGATTTTTTGCTTTTGGCATAGTTGATTTTAATGGGATTTGGTTAATGTTTAATAATTTTTTATTTTTTATTTTATTATTTTATTTTCAACATGAGATTTTACAAAAACAAAATTTGCAGTGTTTAAATATTTGTAAAAAACAATGATTTACAAGTTATAATAAACAAAAGAACCTTTATTTAACAAAAGAAATAAAGAATATTAACAAAAGAAAATGAATTTGTTGTAATATCAATAAAAGAAAATAAATTCATTGTAATATCTAACCAACAAAAGAAAATGAAACATTAATTAACAAAGAAAATGAATTTGTAATATTATCAACAAAAGAAAATGAAATATTAATTAACAAAAAGAAAATGAATTTGTAATATTATCAACAAAATGAAAATGAAATATTAATTAACAAAAGAAATGAATTTGTAATATTATCAACAAAAGAAAAACAAGAATTCATTATGACATTAACAAAAAAAAATGAAAGCTTACTAACAAAAGACAAAATATCAACTAACAAAAAGAAAAACTAAAGAATTTGTTGTGATGTTGCATTCGTTGTAATATTAATACTAATATAAAAATATATGTTACATGGAAATCAAATGTAATGTGA